TCCGGAAAGAATATAACCATGCAATCAACATCAATAATCCAAGTCATAAATGAACTATGCCGTGTAATGGGATGCAATCTTGCTCCCCATTTTTAAAACCTTTTTCCGTCATCATTTCCAAACCGTTAGTGAAACCCGTCCCATGGCAACTCCATGGCGGCACGAGAGGAGGACTGGTTAACTGTCCATGACTCATGACAACTCCATGGCGTCATTTAGGGCCAGGTAACTCAACCACGTTATGGTAGTCTCCCTAGTTTCCTCTAGTTCACACTAACGCCAAGGATCCTAAGCAACTTCTGGGCGACTGGTTTTTGCAAACCTCTCATCAAAACTTTTTACTTTTCGTTTCAAATCAAATTTTCCCATTCTATGCCCAATAACATGCATGAATGTCTCATGCTTTTCATGCCATGCCAAAAGACGATTTCATATCAACAAGTTCAACATTAACAACACAACATTCATTGTAGGAAAATTACTAGAATAATTGACATGCTTCCATATTACAAAATCTAGTAATTTAAACACAAGAGGCATGAAATACAATCGCTTAAGCATACTTTTTCATACAATTTCAATTAACACATAATCACATGCTTCATATACAACATTTAAGTCATCTTAAAAGAAATCAACACAATTTAAGCATGTTAGACAACAAATCATGAAAGAATGAATCACAAAAAAGTTCAAGAAATTGTGAATTAAAAACCTCTACCTCAAAGCTAAATGAAACCCCAAAAATGCCCAAATTTTGAAATTCCAAGAGTTGGGTAAATGGTGCTTGGCTCTAATTAAATCGACGACCTCGACGAGCTCTCTGATAATGCCTTAAGTGGTACTATCAAATTCCCTACGATTGATGAGGAATCAAAGCTTGAAAATTGCAAAAGAAAAGAGAGAGAGAAAGAACCAGATTGGGAGAGAGAAGGAGTGTGGCCAAATAATGGCCTCTTGGCCAATAAAAGCAATAATGGTGGGTCCTCCAGTAGAAATATCTTTTAACATTAATTTGCCACCACAAAAATTTGTATATGCATACTAATTATGTTATAACCACATTTAAGCATTTACACCATTAACTTATGCACAAAATAATTATGATATTATCCGCGTTGGGCCTGAGCCCGCACGATTTTGCTCTTGGGTTTTATCCCAAAAGGTCTCATACCAATTGGAGATGACACACTTACATATAAGCAGTTCACCTTTCTTCTACCCAGGCGATGTGGGACTGTGCACTCGTAGCTCGCCAGTGTGGTAACCTGACAGTGTCTCTCGCACCTGCCTACGGCACACCCGCCCACAAGGTCATCACAATCCACCCCCCTTAGAGGCCCGACGTCCACGTCAGCACACTTTCGGTTGGGTCAGGCTCTGATACCATTTGTATCGACCCACTCCATCACATGGTATGATATTGTCCGCTTTAGGCCTGAGCTCGCACGGTTTTACTCTTGGACTTCACCCCAAAAGGCCTCATACTAATTGCAATGGACCTATGATGCAACTTCAGTACACAACAATTTCTGTAGCGGGTCTCACCTGGGACCTTTGGATCCTAAAAAACAGAAAAATATTAAAATGACAACCAATGCGTTTCCAAGAGTTCTGAACTCAAGGAAATGTCCTCATCAACACTCTGACACACCCGGCACACCCCACGGTGTCTGGCACGCAAAACGAGAAAAAACAAAAACACCCTCGAAAAATCATAAAATTTTAGAAAAATGAAAAATAACAAAAATCAGAAATATTACACTTCGGTCTCGTTGTCCTAAACCAACAACCATCCGTTATTCTTCTTCCTAAAACAAATATGGAAAAAATAAAAAATAAAAAATTCAGATTGGGCTCAGTTCGATTTGTTAACATTTTTAACTTTTGGGTTGGGCTTGAGTTGGGTTTGAATTTACCCATCCGAATGGTATCACTATTTAAAATACATGAAATTCCAAAAATGTCCTAACAACAATCCGTTATTCTTCTTCCTAAAACTCTAGGGCGACAACCTCACGCCAACGCTCTGCCAGAAGAATCTCTGAAATTTCTCATCTCAGGCTGGCTATGTTCCTCCTTTCTTCTTCCCAACCAAAACAAAACTAAGTCATATATATGTGTGAGTTCATTTGTGTATGTCACATTGTCAGCCCTAATTTTGCATTTTCTTACCAAATGAATTTTCTTCAGTTTCAAAGTTTTCTCCGACGATTGCAGCGATGCCGATGGCGAATTGGGAACAACGACCATCCTATATTCGAGGTACTTTGATATATTTTTTCTTTTATGTTTTCTTTTTTGGAAGGCTTAATTTTGGGAAATTTGCAAAATTCATTCAATTATTTATTGGGTTAACTGCAAAAAAAACTCCCTACTACTATGAATATAGTGCAATATAATCTCTGTGTAGTGTGAAACAACCCTATACTAATGGTCCGGAGACTTAAAATGACCATTTCAATAAAATAAATTAATAATTATATATACAGACCTTCTAAAATGACCATTTGGTGTAAATACTCTGGAGACTTAAAATGATGAGGGTATTAGGCTACGTAAAATAACCATTTTGTTCAATTTGTGTAGAATTTTGTTTGTTTGAGACAAGAACAAAATAATGCTTGATTTTGGTAAAGATTTCAATTAAATTTTAGTAAAATTCTCATTGCAAAAGGCATGATAAGAAAAACATTAAACATGAAATCTGAAGCACCAATATTATAACAAGTTAAAAATATATTATAACAAAGAGATAGAGTGGACCCACACTTGATGGAAAAAGCACTTATTTTTGTAATCCTTAACAAATATTATTAGTAGTATAAATTTTCTTTTGTCATTGTAAAAGTTCGATCATGTATGCCTTTATTATATCGTCATCCATGTCAAGTATTGAATTAATTTGATTTTCTCTTTGTAATTATCAGAACAAAACACCAAGGCTATGTTTGGCGCGAGTGAATTGAATCAAATGAAGGTGAAATGGAATGTGTCACATTAAAAGTGGAATGGCTATTCTTAGGGAATGCCCATTCCATCAAAAAGGTGGAATGCCCATTCCACTTCTTAAGAGGTGGAATGACCATACCATTAATAAAGTAATAAAATAATTTACATAGATAATTCACGCATACACACACTATATATATATATATATATATATATATATATATATATATATATATATAATATGTATCTATATGCTGTTTGTTCCCCCTCTCTCTATCTCGTTTATTTTTCTCTCTCTATTATCTCTTTCCCTTTTATTTTTGCAAATTAATTTTTTTAGTTAATTTTTTTTTACTAATAATAAAATGTAATTTAAAGAAACAATATAAATTCATTCTATTCTAATTTTTTTACCAAACATAGGAATGAGAATGAGATTCTATTTTTACACATTCCATATTTACAACCAAACGGTGTATTCTCATTCCATTCCATTCTCATTCCATTCCAATTCATTCCACCACACCAAACATGCCCCAAGTGAAAATGTGATATTGATTGATGAGATAGTTATAAATTTCCAATCATCTTAATCTTTGACATACATAATATTATGCCAAGAGCATATTGTTATCCAATACCATGCATAAATTTCCTAATTAGCTTTAAAAAAAAATTGAGCACTTTAAATTTTTGGTAAGTTATAAAAAGAGAATTTTGAGAGAAAATTATTTTCCATAACCTTCTAACTTTTTTAGAAAAAAATTCAACAAAAAATATGAAAAAAAAAAAAAATGGATTTCTTTTCATCTACATCACTCTCTTTTAAATCTTACTTTTCACTATTAATTTTTGTCTAACCAAACGAGCCTAAGATTTGGGAGTTAATTTGATTAGATAATCAAAAATATTTTACTAAATCAATATTTAAGGTAAAATTAAGTAGAGAACAAATATATGGATATGCATATAGTGCAGACTATGAATGAGAATGCTTATAGGTCTGAAGTATATACTATTTGTATAACATATGTAATGACAAGCACCACATGCATAGAAATATATACCATGACAGTTAGCAAATTTGATAATTAATCACATAGCCCATCAATGAAACATTAATAAACTTTCTTGAGGTGGCCATGGTGGGGGGAAGAGTGAGAGAAGCCAGGAGTCTTCTTTAGGGGCAAAATGGGAACAATAAGGGTAAAATCAAGTTTTCATATTTACTTTTTGTCAAAAAAAAATGGTCAGAGGGCTTATTTTCACTTTTTTTTTTTTTTAATTTTATTTTATAGACTGAAATATACATTTTAAAAAATGAAGAACTATTTGAGCACAAAACCTATATTACATGGGTTTTTTCTACACTTAACCCTTAGTTATTTAATCTTGATTTCAATTGAGATGCCAATCCGATTAGGACGTGCCTCTTAAAATTTATTCAGATTACCGGCAGCGTGTATGCTTCATCAAGGGCTCTTGTGGGGTAGCTTTAAGCTCCTTCATCTTGGTGGATGCCTGCCAAATGGCATATGTATACTTCCATTGTAGCAGCCACGTCTCACTGCAATATATGTTTATTGCAATATTTTGAAAAGGTCAAGGATTTTGGCCGGTACAATGGAGTTAAAGTGGCTCTCTGCCATTCATTAGATATGCAGAGATCTTTGTCTACTTTATTAGTTCCATTTATCAGCCATTTTTAACTCAAAACTTAGCTTAATTTCATGATGAACTTGGAGATAATTAAATTTTCACCCCTAAGAGGAATTAGTGAGAGGATAGAGATGAAAACGACGCTACAGGCGCAAGAGAATTAATAGAGCCTTAATGTTTACCGATATATAACGATGAGAGAGAGAGAGAGAGGGGGATGCATACATGCTAGTGCAAAACTTGTTACAAGAACCACATTATAAGCAACCGATTGATTTGCAGGACATAGAGGATGTGTGCCCAAAATATCCTTCAACATTATATGTTGAGCTGATGTCGATGACAGTGAATGGAAGTTCTCCTAGATGCCTTCCTATTATTGTTTCGTGTGCCACAACTCCAAAACTATAAACGTCACATTTTTGAATCACAACCATATGATGAAGGCAAGTTCTGCATCAACAAGAAGTCTGTAAGAGTAATCAAAATTTTCTTTTTTCATCACTTTGCGAATAATTAAGATAGTACATGACATGACAATGTTGCAAATATATATGTTAGAAATTTTATTTGATTTCGTTTCATCATCGTTTTCATTACCATTAACATCTTCTTCTTTTATTTTATTTTTTTTGTTTAGTTAAGTTTTAACATATATCATTTATAATTTATAAACGTAAAATAGAATAGTGATTTTTATTTTTTTATTTTTCGTTAGTTAAAATAAAAATACTATTTTATTTATTTTTCAAATACTTTTAAACGAATATTTATCTTTATTGAAATAGGGAGCAAGTAAATTTTTGCTTTCTTCTAAACATTTTCTACAGACGATGATATATGAATTGTTCAAAACTAATAGGTTCCCAATGGCCAAACTGGAAGAACCAAAGCCAATACCATCAACGTGGTAATAAAGCCCTCAAGTACAAAGAAAATATGACTTAAAATTACATACCTATATATTTATACTGGTGTAATACGAATGTAAATAAAAGAATAACAATAAAAATTATATATTAGTTGTTTATTTATTTAACAATAGTTAATATTATATATATATTTTGGTTATTTTCCAATAATATCTCAATATGAAATCAAACAAAAAGAGTGATGAAACGAATTATAAATATTTATAGTTTCTTATTCTACTTGCCAAAGGAATAGATCTTCTACCCTTTTTTTTTTTTTTTAATTTTTTTTTATCTCAATTACTAATATATAGTTTTCAGAAAGTAAGTGCATAATTACACGGTGGAATTAATTACCTGAGTTGAGTTCAGACCTTTCAAGCAGCTAATATGTCATGATTCATAAGCTGTGACAATGAAATTTTTTGCAGAGGTTTAGCTAGTGAGTACTTGGAAGAAAGAAACTTCTGAGAAACGTGGAGCATTGTTGGTCGAGACTTTGGTTCAGATTGTAAGCAAGCAAATGCCAACGTAGCAGCTAGAACAACATTTGTTGCAACCAGTCCACGCTCTGGAGGTTGGAGGCGTACGTCTAACACATCATTTAGCATTATATTTTGAGCAGATGCTGATGCCACTAATGGAAGGAGTTCTTTTGGATGCCTTCCCATGAGTGTTTCTAGTGCCACAACCCCAAAACTATAAACATCGCTTTTTGCATTCACAACGATGGTGTAGGCAAGTTCTACACAAACAATAAAGATAGTTAATCAATTGTTCAAAAAAGGTTCATTGATTAATTTTAAGGTTTCATTCCAGAGTAGAAATGCAGAAAGCTTACCTCAAAAGGTACTTTAAGACAAATTACTAATTATTACTTGTTTGAAAAGAAGACTATAAAATGTTGGAATTGCATTAGAAGAATAGTTTACCTGGAGCAACATATCCACGAGTACCTACTACTACAGTTTGGTAATTGGATGAATCAGGATACAACGGCCTGGCTGTGCCAAAATCAGAGACAAAAGCCTCCAATTCTGAATTCAACAGAATGTTGTTGCTTGATATGTCACGGTGGACAATTGGTGGATCGCAATCATGGTGCATGTAAGACAAAGCATACGCAATGCCTTTAATGATGTTTACCCTCCTGGACCAATTCAATTCCACAGCTTCAACATCATCTCTTAGGGCACAAAATAAGCTTCCTTTTTCCATGTACTCGTAAATCAGGAACATGCAACGGTTGTGCAAACAAAATCCATAAAGCTTGACAATGTTTCGATGCCTTATATAGGTCAACATCCGAATCTCATTCTTAAAACTCTTGTCAAAAGCTGGTTCCTCGGCCTCTAACCTGTGAAGTTTCTTCAAGGCAAAAACGTCGCCACCCGGCAGCTGTGCCTTGTAAACACTGCCATAACCACCAGTCCCTATGCAGTATCTAATGTCGAAGCCATCTGTTGCTTTAATTATTTCTTCATACACAATGCTGCCATCATAATTCCACACAGAAAACAGATTTCTGTCCTTTATTGCCCTTTCTTCAGATTGAGTATCTTTTCTAACCTTATTACGGAAGAAGAAAATAGCTCCAAGGATTAAGAAGGCAAGGGAAATGATGATGACAAGCAAAATGAAGACCAAGGGTGGCACAACCCTGTTTCTCTTTCTCTTGGTTGAGCCAATTGTGGTGGAAGAATATGTACAAGGAGGGAAACCACTGACTTGACCACATAAACCTTTATTTCCCCTTAATTCCTGCAATAGGTTGTTTCTAAATTGAAGACCTTGTGGGATTTCTCCCTCCAAAGCATTGTATGACAAGTCAATGGTTGTCCCCAAATCAGCAGAGCTAAATGAACGGGGAATAGTGCCAGTGAAATTATTGTGAGAGAGATTCAAGTAATTTAACTGCACAAAACCTTGTGGTCGAATAGATATCGTTCCACTGATGAAGTTGTGACCGAGGTTCAGATAGAACAGAAAAAAAAGATGACGACTAAACCCTACCGGAATGTTTCCGCTCAAGAAATTATCACTCATTCCCAAGTGCCCTAAGCGTGTACAATTCTCGAGTTCTTTTGGTATGGTTCCATTTAACAGATTTTGGGAAAGGTCTAGATAATGAAGGATGGAGAGGTTTCCAACTTCACTTGGTAACTGACCTACAAGTTGGTTTGAGGATATATCAAGGAAATAAAGTGTGGATAACTGGCCAAGCCCAGGAGGTATGGTACCGTATATCTTGTTGCAGGACAGATCCAAAACAGTTAGACCATTCAAGTTCCATATCTCTGTTGGTATCCGACCAACAAATCGATTTGCAGACAAGTCAAGATGAGTCAAGTTGGCTAAAAGACCAAGAGATGAAGGGATACCCCCGGTGAAGTTGTTACCAGTAAGGTTAAGCTCAACCAGATTCGTCAAATTACCAATGCTGGGGGCGATAGAACCATAAAAATGATTTGAATTGAGCAATAGATGTTGTAGATTGGTGAGATTAGCAACATATGAAAAAATTGGACCACTGAGATTGTTATTACTAAGGCACAAGTAATTCAGACTTCGAAGATTCCTTATTTCCGGAGGGATGGAGGCGCTGATAAGATTGATAGAAATGTCCAGGTAATAGAGCATTGACAACCTCCCAATTTCTCGGGGGATGGAACCATTCAATAGATTTGAACCAAGGGAAAAATATTCCAAATTTACAAGATTCCCCATTTCTGGGGGGATGTTGCCCCTAAGATTATTGATAGAAATGTCAAGCTCGATTAGTTGGGTGAGATTAGCCATAGAAAGAGGCAGCATACCTGTAAGTTGATTCCCAGACAGGCGAAGGTAATTGAGTTTCGACAACCTTCCAATTTCTGAGGGGATAGAGCCGCTGATATTATTTTCAGAAATGTCAAGCTCGAGTAGTTGGGTGAGATTAGCCATAGAAAGAGGCAGCATACCCGTAAGAGAATTGTAAGAAAGTTGAAGATAATTGAGTTTCGACAACCTTCTGATTTCATACGGGATAGAGCCACTGATACTATTGTAAGAAATGCCAAGCTGGAGTAGTTGGGTAAGATTAGCCATAGAAAGAGGCAGCATACCTGTAAGTTGATTCCCAGACAGGCTAAGGTAATTGAGTTTCGACAACCTTCCAATTTCTGAGGGGATAGAGCCACTGATACTATTGTAAGAGATGTCAAGCTCGAGTAGTTGGGCAAGATTAGCCATAGAAAGAGGCAGCGTACCTGTAAGAGAATTGCCAAAAAGTTGAAGATAATTGAGTTTCGACAACCTTCCGATTTCATACGGGATGCTTCCATTGAGCCCACAATAGCTGAGATTGAGACTTGCCAAGTTTGGAAAGGAAGACATGTTCAATTTCTCCAGCTCTCCCCCTAAGTCGGAGTAAAATAACTCATTCAATGATCGACATTTCATTGAAAGGTCTATCCCAATGACATTTCCAAGCTTATTGCAAGCTATTCCTTCCCACTTACAGTGACTTGTGGAGTTGTCAACTGGAATAGTGTTCCCCCACCAACCAGTGCGGAGAAGAGCCTCTGCCTCCTCTTTCGACATAATAGATGATTTTGCCAACAAGATAATATTAGCTGCTATCCATACTAGTACGACTGCGTAATATTTGAAGGACGCCATGTTTATTTGCACAATATATGGGGATCAAATGAATGGATGCATTTGGTTGGTGTATGTAGAATATATATTACAATAGGGTAGGTCCAGACGTACAGGGGCAAAGGGAGTCAAGCCAGAGACTATCAAACTAATCGCTGAACTTCATGGGTAATGTAAGTTATCCATTCAAAGGTGGTCAAGCTTTTGAGTAACAGAAGAAGTCAGTCTTTATTATTCTTTTTAACGAGGTTACTCCATATGTACGTATGTCTAATTCTCACTCTGTACACTATCTACTGTGTGCTATTTTCTACCAAAATATACTTCTTTTACCATTTTATCACATAATTAAATGTTTTACTTGCAGCTTGTCACATCAATAGACAATGGCGTACGTTTTTCCTTTTTCCCATTTTTCTTAGAAATATATTTTTTCCCCAGGTAGAACATTTTTATATGCAGGCATTGAGGACATAACTCCTCCTCGATGTAATGTTCAATTAACATGAACACATTAAGTGAGAATGTATTTATTATGTTGGGTTTTATCATTGTGTATTGGTTTATATATATATATATTTGAATTATATACCTATAAAATTTTAAAATTATTCCTAAAATTACAAAAAAAAAAAAATCCACGATTGCCCCAACTTCAGGTTTTAATTTTTTATTATTGTTATTTTTTATCTTGTTAAAAATGCCGCACCCACTCACAAAATTTTTTGAGTTCAATATAATTTGAGGTCTAAATTTTATGGGCCGTCAAAAATTTTATGAGTGGGTGCGACATTTTTAACAAGATATCGAAATCAGCATTATCTTGCAGTATTATTATCCATCAGAATTTCTAACTTTGGGCATCTAAATAAAGTTTGAATTTTTTTCAAAACTCGAAAGGATATTTAAAAAATAAATTCAATAATCTCATTCAAAACTAAAACTAAAAATATAATTAAATTGAGTATTTAAACTGATTGATAAAGTTTTCTCCACGGCATAGTAGACCGGGTGTTTTGGTCGAGTCAAGCTCATTGATGCATTAACGTATCTGAGAAGGGAAGACTTTTCCTTGGAAAAATGCCACAACCTCTCAGTCCTTGGACCCATAAGCAACGTCAGAAAAGTATTTTCCTTGTAAATATGTCACAATCTCTCAATCCTTCAACGCCCCATAACCAACGTCAGAAAAGTCTTTCTTAACCAAAAAAAAAAAAAAAAAACGTCAGAAAAGTCTTTTTTACAAAGCCTCTAAGCTACCCTACTCTGTAAATACTACCATTACTTCTGGACCCAATGCAAATCTCTGACAAGCCATCGAAGTTTTATAAAAACAGTATGTCTTCACTCCTTGGGAGATACTGGTCTCCTCAAATTTAAATTATCATCCATTTACGACTAATAAAACATATCATTTTATACTTTTTATTAACACTGACCAAATTAATGGAACAATTGAGCAGATGAACATCTTGATTTATTAGACACTGTAATACAAATGCATAAAGTCAAATCACTAGTGAAAATCCAGCCAGCAAGAAATTAACCCTATCATTCTGTATTTTGTACTCACTAATACAAAGCTCACTAGATTAATTGATCAAATATGTATTTTGATTAATTAGCTATAACACTGAGATTTTCTGTAGAGGTTTAGCTAGTGAGTACCTACCTGCTAGCAATAAACTCTTGATAAACTCGTAGCATTGTCGGCCGAGACTTTGGTTCAAGATGTAAGCAGACAAATGCCAATGGTGCTGTAACGACCCGGATCCGAGGGTCCAAATCGCTAACCGGGTTCTTACCCGAACCCGAGGTCAACTAAGGATACTATCGTCCTTTCTTATGTCAATACATAATATACGTATCATCCCAGGATTTATAAATAATAATAATAAATAAATAATAAAATGAGATCATAGTTATAAAGTATATCAAAACGATCTACTAACCCATCAAACCCTGTGGAGGAGCGTCGTCCGCCACTTCCCTTTCGTGTCCTTTAAATATAAGGGGTGAGCAAATTGCTCAGTAGGTGGTGCCTAAGACATACCTTTTGTGACTCCGTGAATCCACACAAGGAATAGGAAAAAGAACCGGGATCATGCTATTTTCGGGAAAAATATAATCACAATATCAATAACAATAATCCAAGTCATAAACGAACCATGTCATGCTATGGAACGTAATGTCGCTCCCCATTTCCAAAACTTTTTCCGTCATCATTTTCAAACCGTTAATGCAACCCGTTCCATGGCAACTCCATGGCGGCATGAGAGAAGGATTGACTAACTGTTCCTGACCACAAGGCAACTCCAAGGCGTCATTTGGGGCCCAGTTAACTCAATCACGCTAGGGCAGTCTCCATATTTCCCTCTAGGTCACATTAACACCAAACCCATAGGCAACTCCTAGGCGACCGAGTTTTCGCAAACCTTTCATCAAAACTTTTCCCCAAAAACCTTTTTTTTTCATTTCAAAACAATTCTTTCCCCATTTCAAAACGTTTTTTTTTTCCATTTCAAAACGTTTCTTTTCCATTCCATGCCCAATGAAATGCATGTATGTTCCATGCTTTTCAACAATACATGAATGAGAAGTCACACACCATACAAATCAATATTTACCATGTAACAAGCATTGAAGAAAAATTTCTAATAATAACCAACATACTTCCACATTACAAATCCTAACAAGTTAAACATGGTAAACATGGAATATCTTCACTTGAGCATGTTTTTCATATAAATCAACAAATACACTTAATCATATATTTCATATATAATAATTTGATCACTAAAAAAAATGTTAACACAATTTAGGCATACTAGGCAACAATTAACAAAGGAAATTCACAAAGGAATAAGAAATTTCGTGGATTAAGAACCCCTACCTCAATTGAAAGAAAACCCCCAATTTATGCCCAAATTTTTTTTTTTTTTTTTTTTTTGAAATCCTTAGGTTGGCCAAAAATGAACTTTGCTCTGATCAAAACGTAGGCATCGACGCACTCATTGACTTTGCTTTTAATGTCAAAGCCAAAATCCAAGTAGAATTGTGTAGATCAAGCTTGGAAAAAAAAAAAAAAAAAAAAAGAAAAGAAAAGAAAAGAAAAGAAAAAGAAAAGAAAAGACAAGAAAAGAAGAAGCAGAATGGCATGAGAGAGAGGGAGTGAATTGAAGTCGGCCATTATAATGAACATACCAGTGGGCCCCACAAGTAAAAAAAAAATCTTCCATGATGTCATTTATATATATTCACTAATTATTTTACCACCACAAAAACCAACATATAACCATGCAAATATGTACAAAATAATAATCCATATAATGCAATGGACCCGAAATAAAATCTCCGCACAAAACAATTCAGGTAGCGGGTCCCACCCGGGACTTTTCGGTCCGGAAAACGAAAAAATGCCGAAATGGCAACTATTGAATTTCAAAAAGTCCTGAACTCAATGAAATGCCCCAACCAACTCTCAGGCATACCCGGCACACCCACGGTGTCCGACAAAGAAAAGACGAAAATGCCCTTGCAAAAACAGAAAATTCCAAAAAATGAAAAATGATAAAAATCGGAAACATAACAATCTACCCTCCTTAAAAGATTTCGTCCTTGAAATCTACCCTTCTTAAAGAAGGAGGCCCACAGTACACACTTTCTCGAGAGATACTCCACAAAACTACAAGACCATGAACCCACCAATAATATTGCCTTTGACACCAGACGTCACCAGGCAACTAGAAACCACTGCCATAATAACCCAATGCTCACCACCCTATGAAGGTACCCATCACTCAAAACATCGCAACGCAAAACCAACTGGTACGCTCTACGCTATACTTGACTCAATACGGACATCAATCCACTCTACACTGCCACGAAAGGCTCCCAAGCCCGAAAAAGAACAGTCATCATATCACCACACATGACAACATCCAAACCCAATTCATCCTTCAATGGACACACTAAAATTTAGACAAAAAATCTCGTTCATCTCACAATCAAATTCAACTCTATCCTACACATCCTTGTTAGACCAAACACTCACTATCCAATACTTAACTACACCATCACATATCGGTACAAGCGACTACCAACTACACCATTCAGCAATCATTACACTTAACAACCTTCAGATGACTAAACGACGAATCTCCCAACAATTATATAATCATGAGTCACCAAATCAATAAAACGTATTATCTTGTATCCAGGCCATAAATCCTTTAAACATGACCTTTAATAGTCAATGGTTGCACCACAACCCCTTTATCGGACACTTGATCCTTCCTAACACACCTCGTCACTCGAGATAAATCATCCAAATCCACACTGACACATTAACACAACGCATAAAACGGTGCTCTCACTGTCACTAACAAGTCGAAACAATCATTGACCTTTGACCCGACATCGTGCTAAAGAGGGACTAAATCGAGAGAAATGGTTGGCCAGGCCATTCTCAAGATCTCAAAGTTCGATCGATCCAACTTGATTCTCTGATCGATCGATCTTTCTTGTCCTTATCCACATGCTAGATCTTATCCAGCTGTACCACCCTACCAATCATTTTTGTCTTTTTCCCAATAATATCTTCAAAATATCTCAGATTTGTTTTTATCCAAAAAGGCACCACCATAGAGGATCGATCCAGCTTCAATTCGATAGATCTAAGCCATGTTCGATCGATCTCACCACAAGTTCGATCGATCGAACCTCCTAAATCCCAAGAAAATCTAAATTCCAGCTCATTAAAAGTTGTCTCATATCCAATCATTGGAGGAATATTGGCGTACGAGCCCAGCTCATTTGGGGTGATATTTGACCTACCTATATAAGGAATATGAGCCACTTTTTGAGATATTTTTTTGGAGACTAGAGACTTTATACTTGAGAGGCACAATTTTCATATCTTAGTAAGGAAGAAAGGAGAAGAGGAGGCTAGAGACACAAGCTTGGAGTTCTTCCATCAACCAAGAAGAGGAGCAATCTCTACCATTGAGTTAGCCCTTGAGGGTTGGAGGACACCATTCATGAGTGGCTAGACATCCTCTTGGGGCTAGAGTTAGCCCTAAGCATGCTTTCTACATCTTGATTTATGTATTTTTCAGGGGATTTGTATTATGATACATGTTTTGACACTTTT